TATATGTATATATATATATATATATATATATATATATATATATATGTATATAGTACGCATACATAAGTAGGGATAGACAGGAACTTCCCGCGTCCTTGTTTTTGCTTCGTCCATCGGTGACCGTCTTTCTGCCATCAATATTAGCTCTACCTCGCAGAAGTAACGAAAAGTCACATTAAAATGGAAAAATACAATGAAACTTCAATGGATCGTAACTAAAAAGTTCTTTTAAATTAATTAATAAAATAAAAATGAATCATCTTTGAACTTATATCGTAATAATTTATTCAATGATTTATCGTCTTGTATGATATAACGCATATAAGTTTGACATTACATTCGATTCAGTTTGCCCTCTGTTAATTTAACTTTTAGCTTCTATTCTATAAGGAGACAATCGACATTGTAACATTGTGGAAATTTAATTCAGTGCGATAAATTCTTCGTTTAGGCAACGATTTTAAGATACGCTTCTCCTATATTTCCAGGATGCTCAGGAAATCCAGACGCAAAACGATTATATGACGATCTCTTGTCGAATTACAACAAGTTGGTTCGTCCAGCGTTCAACGCTACAGACAACCTCACCGTTAAAATAAAACTGAAACTCTCGCAGCTTATTGATGTGGTAAGCAATAATATTCTCTTGTAGTCACATTACTCGTAAAATAATATGAGACAAAAATAAGCGAGAATTGTGGATTTTTATTACAATTAAATATTTAAATTATAACAGAAAAGTAAATATTTTTATATAATAATGTCTTAATAGTGAATTTTTAAACATTATTATTTACATTATTTGAATGCGAATTTTAGCTACGTACTTTACATTCCATAATGATAAAAATTGTTATAGCGGATATTACTGATGCGTATATATATATAATAGTTCGTAGTCCACTTTTTAATTATCTCAGAAGAGCATAAGATATGTCGGCTTATAACGGAATGTTGCGATATTTTCAGAGTATGGGAGAATAATGTATTCTTACAAAATTATTCTGTTACAGAATTTGAGGAATCAGGTCATGACAACGAACCTTTGGGTCGAACAGGTAATAAAAATAACACGTAATATAAGAATTGAGATATATAATAAAAAAATCACATAATGTAAGAATTAAGATAGAGAGAATTAGGAAAAATTAATTATTTGATGTCCTTTCACATACGGTAAAGTTTTCACGCACGACTCGCATAATAAGCTGATAAGAATTGTCAAATACAGAAATACGTGGATCTCCAATTTGCAAACTGTGCAAATAGAATTTAATTTAAAAATAATCTTATGATAGTTCAATAATAATAAACAATAAATAACAAAAAGGAGCTACAAATCAGATTTTTATGTATTTCAAATATTTAGAACATGCATTATATGCATATAATACAATACAAGTAATTTTTGACTGAACTGGTTTCAATTTTAACTCTGATCACATTTGCTTCTTGTGAATTAATTTGACTCATTGTTTCAACTGGTTTATATTCTTGTTAAACATTCACATTTGAGAATGTGTGCTGATACATTTTTATTGAATGACTCAACATGTTTGAATAATTTTATCATCATTATGGACTAATTGCGATCGATATAATGGAAAAATATACAATAACTGAGAATATTACAAGACTGAAAGCATTACATTATTGCGATAGAAGATATATATGAAGGAATACTACCAACACTTTGCGTAACTATCTGTAGAAATTTTATCTAACTGTTTTATTAATTTTGTTAAATTTGCGTTCTCTACATGCATACACTGAGAATAAGCTAATAATAAGATCAAAATATTCAAAGAATTTAAAAAACATAAAATTCTGGTTTGTAGCCCCTTCTGTTATTTAGAATTTAATTTTATCAACACAATCAAACTGCATAATTATTACTCTTTTCCTCTCCAATATATAATTTTTATTTAACGTATCTTAATAATGTAAACAAAGACTTAATGACAAATGACGCATGTTAAAGAGAGGCATACAATATCAGCTAAAAATATCAGTCAAACAATTAGTCAAAATAAGCTATAAAAAATTAAGATGGAGATAATTGGGGAAAATTAGAAGATACTTATTACGCATAATGTAATGTTGAACAATGGAATAATATTTGTAAAAAATTGTAACAATTTTCGATTACATTTAAAATTGCTGAAATTTTTATTATGGGTCTTTGTTCATGTGGAAAGTAAATGTTCAGCCTGTCGATGACATGTTTTAGCACGTGGCTACATGTGCGAGCACGCGCGCGCGGATTTTCGTACGCAGAAACGTAGAAGATCGAACAGTAGCTTCCGCCCGGAGAAGCCAGAAAATAACTTCGGTGAACCGTGCAACCCACTTTCAAATTACGTAAGATAGATTCGCCCCATGCCGCGCAATCGTTTTTCCGTTCAGGGATATATATCGAGCACAAAATAGATTCGTGTAATAAATACGCAATGAAAAATCGGTTATTAGAAAGCAAATACCTTATGATACGATTATACAGAGTGTTGCTCGATAAATATTCTAACTCTTCTTATCGAGATCAACGAGCATAAAGATATATTTATATGTATTTTATATAATGTCATTATATATTGAATCCTCTTTGTAGTATTTAGAGAATAGTTATAAAAGATTATATTTTTCTCTCGGTATTATATTTATGTATAAATATTTTTTTAACTTCGTTTAAATAACTTTTCTACACGTTCTAGATTTTATTATCGTATTTCTCTTGTCGGATATTTGTACATATCAAAAGTTTTAATTATTCCATCGTTGAAAACAATCAAAAAATAAAATGGAATGAATGACGAGATTGGTAATAGAAATAAAATCAGAATAAATTGAAATTTAGACCAAAGCTTGAAATTGATACGTAGCAATTTTATTACAAATTTCAGTTTATTCTGACTTCATAAGTCCTTGTAAATATGTTAGCCCAATGTTAGCAATATTTAACACTTCGTGAACCAGGTGGGGCGTGACATATCCCGCAACAAGATGAATTTCTATAATTTCCTAAAAAGTACCGCATGTTGCCGGTTTCGTGCAACTGGAGAAAGTGCGTTGTTACCCCAATCATACTAAATAATAGTATATTTATGATGAAGTATAGCATGGAATATCAGATATGAATCCGCACATGATCCATGTCGATTTTCCACTTGGTTCGCGATTAAGGATGTATAATATGTATCTCAAAACATTGCCAAAAATATAAAAATTTCCTGGATTGTTCTATTACTACATCTGAAGATCGGTATAAAATTTGAGCACAATTCTCTTATTGGTTTAAAAGTTATTTAATTTTTTTGTTAGTCTTGATTCTTATATCAAATTGTGTTTTATAATACTTATTTGTAAATTTGATGAGAAAGTAACATTAAAAATTGAATCAAATTTTAATCGTATACTGATTAAACAATAATAAATATTCATGCGAAAAGTTTATTTAAAATCACTTATTCGTTTACAAGTTATTGACCTAAAACTGCAGAAAAATATGATCATTTTGCTGCATAAAATTATTATAAGTAAAATTATTTGTTGTTTTGTTCTTTACTTGTTGATTTAAAAACTTATTTACAGGTTATAATCTTGATATTTTGAATGGTATTGATTGATATTAGTTTATTTTGATTAATTGTTTGACTGATACTTTACTACTGAAAAAAGTAATAATTATGCAGTTTGATTATGCAGTTGTTGATACAATTAAAGTCTATTTGCACAGTTTGCAAATTGGAGATTCACGTATTTAATAATTCTTACCAATTTATTATGCGAGTCGTGCGTGAAAACTTCACCAGCGTGAAAGGACATCAAATATTCATATGTGCTATAAACCAGGCACATCATTGATGATGTTTGCGTATATTCTCAATTCGGAGAGTTATGAATCAATGCTATGCCATCCGAAAGTTTTCGGAATATCTACCGCATCACGCATCAATTGTTATCACTAAGTTCGCGCACAAAAATGTTAATTTAGCTGCAATTTTTCGACGGGATTAATCGGTTGGTGCTGATACATGCAGACTGAAAATGTCCACTTTGCAAATAAATTGTCTGCCAATTTTTTACAATTAAACTTTTTAAACGCAACTTTATAACAATTATAATTTCTATTATCAGCTTGTGATAACACGATTCTTTAATCCATGTATTAAATATAAAACATTTTACCATTTGTCACAGTTTGCGTCATATTTGAATTACATTAAAATTGAAATCGCGACATTTAATTATTACGGAAAGTTATACGAGAATTACGAGGATTATATATATACGAGGATTATATATATATATATGTATTTCATGATAAATATTTAATAAATTACCTCGCAGAATGCACACGGCTCACTATTTAACTAAGCTACCTTTGGTTCAGTTAAACATGGCCAAATTTCAGAATAGAGTCATGTCCAGCTATATGCCGGCATAATATTCTATCTAGCAAACATAGCGACGCGTAGACGAAGAGAGACTTCGGCTTCGAGCTAATATTCAACATGCTCTACGCATAAAGACTGTGTCCACGCCTGAAGGAAGCGCATTTCCGGCGACCAGCTGTGTCGGTGGCGTCAGCAATCCATCATTCGCTATTCCAGTAATATAAGTAGGAAATTGACAGTAATAAAAGCGATTTGTAATTACTAAAACTAATTTACTATGTTCGCAATTAGTTTATTCGAAATTTTAAAGTCAACGCAATAATGGATGGAACTTATTATAGTATTTTTTATTTCTATTCTTTCAAAAAATATCTTTAACAAAAGGATACTGATAATTTTTAAATAATCAGAAAACAAAATAGATTGAAATCTTGTTTAGTTTTTGTTATTATTTTTTTTTAAATTGAAAATATTAGTACATTTCTTACTTTTAACTTTGAATAGATTTTTTATTTTAATTTAAAGCACAATTCCAAAGATGTAAGACATTTGTACTTTCAAAAACTCCAAAGAATAATGACTTTCTTGACATTTTTATCGAGAAAGTAACTTGACTTCGAAATCGCGTCCAAAAGTTCACCGTAAAAATTTAGTCCATTTATCACAAGGTACTTTATAAAACTTAGATATCATTGACGAAAATGTTTGAAAATTTTTTTGGTACACAATGCGTTGTCGCACACACACACACGCGCGCGCGCGCACACACACAAAATGTTAAGCTTATTTTTTAATCATACTATCCTACTAAAATCTTAAGAAAAGAAAAATTGATCTTTGTATCATCCACAAAATTCAATAAATCAACGGCATAGAAATTTTTTAATAAAACGTGCAGTTTTAATTGAACAATGTGAACAAACAAGGAGAAGAAGTTCATATGCAAATCTGCGCGTTTCAGCCTTACAACTTGCAATGAGGAAAGTTACAAAATATTGCCTCTGTGCTCTGTTTGAAATAGCTTCAGCGTGATTTCCCGATCCTTTGTTGCTTCTCATTTTAAATACATGAATTAGAATACGATAGATAAATTCATTGACGTGCTTCAAAGAAAAGTATCTACCTATCATATTTACAATTGTGATGGAAAAACGAAATACGCGAATATTTTTATGATATTTTGTTCAATGCAACAATATATCAACAATATATCTCTTTTATTCCAAACAACAGTTTTTCACATTGATATATTCAATCATTGATATTTACGATATTGTTCATGCAAAAATATGAGTTTGCTTTTGATAGAAACGAAAACACTTTTTAAGCAACAAAAAGTTAAAAATAGCATGATATAGTATCAAGTTACATTTGTTAATTAGATCACTGAACAAGAAATTAGATCACTGTAATTATTGTAATAAAAAAAATAGATTTTACTCGTAGAATTAACTAAATAGAGAACGTATGTGCGTATCTAAAAATACCTATTAAATTTATTTGAATCATGTTTTAATTATTAGGACTATCATTTTGAAGAAAACAATTTTGAGAAAAATCTAATTTATTAACTTAATTGATTTTCTAATTGCAGTGTTTAGTACAATAATTAATGGAAAATAATGTTTACGTATATAATTGTATTTACTCCAAGAATGATAATCGTAAAATCAATTCTTATGTCCATATTCAATCAAGAGCATAAAAATCAATACTGCGTCAGAGAACAAATGACTAGCATGATTTTCTGGTCAATGAATAAATAACAGCTGAAGAAAGAATCTCTCATAACTCGACGTATGAACGTATAGGTTTATGGATATAATTATAATTATTGATTATTCTTGCTCGAAGTTTTCATATTAGACATGTTAAAGCAACGGACATTATGACTCGTTATTTTTGGCGGACATTATCCCAGTTATAGGAGCGTTGATCTATTGAAAATTTGCACAATAGACAAGACAAATGACGTAAAAATGCGGTTTTTATAAATTGAAAGTGTAAAAAAAACATGACATAAAGAAATGATGGATATATCCAATAAATAATGTGAAATTGTTGCACAATGTAATTTCATTAATTATCATCAAAAAAGGACTTTTTTCAATTTTTATTATTGATAATTTAATGTCCATTCTAAAAATTTTATAAGTTTTTAAGCAGAGAAAAGAAATCATTGCATGAACGATAATAGTGGACCAGCATCCATACCGTATAATTATTGCTAAAGCTACATGTTCAATATGTAAGAATGATAAATTTGACAGAAAAATGTGACAGTGTGTAAAATTGTTTATATATTTATCTAAAAATCATTTATCTTAAATATTTATTTCAACTACAAAATGAGAATGCGCGTATGATTGATATCTAGTGCAACATTTTAAGGCTTTAATATTGTGACAACGACAGTGCACTGCTCTTAAAGAACATGCTCGCAAATTCCGATACTGGCGATTGAGGCGGATGTACTGTGTAATTTTATTGAGAAGCGCTATAAAAGAATATGATATTTTTCTGTAGTGGCTTTTTCTTTGAAAAAGACGTAAATAAATAAAGTAACGTAATAAAAGTAAAAGTGACAGACAAGATAGAAATGTGCGATAATGTTATATTGATTCTTTGTTTGTAGACATGGCACGATTACAAGTTGAAATGGGATCCGAAGGACTACGGTGGAGTAGATATGCTGCATGTGCCAGCAGATCATATATGGAGGCCCGATATAGTCTTATATAACAAGTAAGATGATTGAAAGATAACAATTAGATCTATCTTTCCTTTCTTTAATATGCGTTAATTGGCATAGAGTATTGTTGATTTGAATAAATTATTGATCAAAACACAAGTAAATGTATCGCGAATGTATAATGTTTGATAGAAGAATGCGTAAGTGATTATTTTATTATTGAAAGTTTTTTTTATATAATTATCGAAAAATTATATATACTCTTTGTTAATAGAAAATTTAGATCTCTATTACCAATTATTTCCAAGCCGAATTTTTCCATATTTTTAATTAAATTTTTTATATGTTTTGAGACAACACTGAAGATTAAAATTATAAGCAGATTAATTATAAGAAAATTATAAGAAGATTAAAATTATACTTTACATGATGGAGCATACTTTTACATTTAAAAAATAAACGAGCTGTTTCCTGAATAATAGAACACACTCTTTTGTGTGACAAACTAACCAAGATGTTCATTGGGACTATACGTGCTAAGTAGAAGTTATTTTTTTATGAAACCATGTTTAAAAGTTTAATCAAGTAAAGACTTATCAATAATTCAATAGTAAAATTTCTTATATAATTGCTAAACAAATCGCTGCTTTAAACCGTTGTTATTTATAATTAATAATTATTTTGATCCCTCTATCGTTTTTATTTATTTAAAATTACAAAAATTGTAAAACTGTGTAATTCTGAATAAGTAAAGTCATACAGAGATTAGAAGTTATAAAACTCAGAAGAAGTTTTATCTTTGATTTCTTGTAAGAAATTATATCTTTGATTTTTTTAATAAAGTATTTTTCGTGATAAATGTTTATATCAACCTATTTTATTTACTCGATCTCTTTACATTAATTTGGTTTCTCAATCTTTTTAGATATTTTACAGCAAATCTACAAAAAGGATGTTACGTTATTTTTTGTATATAAGAATAATTATAGGTTTTCGAATACTTTAGAAATTACTTATATTATTTCAAATAAGATTATTTGGTTCCAAGATGAGATATTAAAGAATTTACGTTCAACAGCGCCGACGGTAACTTTGAGGTGACATTGGCGACGAAGGCAACTCTCAATTATACGGGCAAGGTCATCTGGAAGCCACCAGCTATTTACAAATCTTCCTGCGAGATCGACGTCGAATATTTTCCCTTTGATGAACAAACGTGCATGATGAAATTCGGCTCGTGGACTTATGATGGCTTCCACGTGAGAATTATTTGGTATTTCGTTCGATGTTTCGGAAATTGCCTTCCATTATCCAAATGCGTGATCAATTAATTTAACTGTTGCAGGAAAGCCATTTGTTTCTATTATAAGTTAAAAAAAGAATTGATACAAATAGAAAGGTATATCGTATACGTGAAAGTGTACAGTGCCAAGGATATTTATATTGTATTTTATTTAGGTGATCTTTTTCTTCGTGAATCAAGAGTCTAATAAATATTAGATCTTTTCCATGTTCAAAGAACTTTTTGTTATGAGATATGTATTCTTCTTATATTAGATAAACTATTCAATTAATCTTAACGACTCAATAATTAATTTATTAGTGCAACAGGAAGATCTTGCAGAGATCTCTTGTTAGAGCAATCACAAATATTCTGAGAGTGACTTTCGTAAGACGTTATGGTGGAAGTATTATTGTCGCCGTTAGGCACCATGTAAAAAGATCGTATATATCGCTTGTTATCTTTTTTTATTGAGGAAAATGTCACTTGTTAGAAGCGCGTAATCGAATATAAATGATGGACAGATAGAACGTTGAAGTAAAGAAATGAGACGGTGAGACGAATTAACGTCTGACCTAAATTAGATATTATTAATATTATTTAAAAAGTGGTTCTTGTTTTATGTGCTAATATAATCTATCTCTGCCTATGCTAAAGCCTTACACATGTAATTAATTGTTTCAATTTAATTTCAAAAAGAAAATTCAATTTGGCCTACCTAAGCTTTATGATTTTTGCTAATTTTTGCTAAATCCAAAATTGAAAACTAATAGTCAGATTTCAAAGAGAAAATATTTTTTAACATTAATTAAAAATATGAGACATT